TTAGAGTTATATATAAATACGCTGCTCATAAGGAGGGCCATGGCCATGAGCTTAGTGTCATAAGCCTTGTCTCGACCAGTAGAGCCCAAACCCTCACAGTCAAGGAAGATGACGACCTTGTCATTGAGCTCCTCCTCGCAGATGTACATCCATATGCCTTGGGTGCAGGCATTCACTTCGTTGCCCGTCTCGAAGACAACCGGAGTAGGTCGATTCACGGCATCATTCTTCTTCCTGCCCAGTTTCAACAACTTGTTCAGAAGCTTATTCTCCTTCTGTGGGTCCTCATTAACAGTAGTGGAGCCACCAGGACCTGGGATGAGTAGAGGGCCAGGGCTACAAGGCAGTCGACTTACCTCTGACGAGCCTGTTGAGGAGGTAGCTCTTACCCGTCCGGTACATACCAACTACTGTAACGACGCTCACTTGCTTGTCGTGTCCGAGAGCCTCCAGGAGGGCAAGGGCCTCGGGTTTCACAACGAGCTTATCGCCGTCAAACGAGATCCTGAGGATAGTAGTAGGGCCCAGCACATGATGGTGTCGAGACCCCTACAGTTGGACAGCTTTGCCGGGGTTCTTGAAGGCCATACTAGTGGTCTTAGTAATGTACGAAGAACGGCGGTAGGCGGTGGGAATAGTAGTGGTCCTCATGACCCGCACAGTTGGAGGGCCAACTGATGGCCCTGGGACGAAGGATGGGGGAGAAGAGGAGTTGAACATCGAGAAGGCGGCCGGGACATCGATGAAGTTGGGGGTCGGCGCCGACGACAGGGGGCCACCAGAGTAGAGAGGCATCCCAGCCGGGGGGCCAGCATAGCGAACCTGACCATGGGACAGTGTGGTCCTACGAGAGGCAAGCTCTACTACGACCTGCTCAACTCTAGCCATGGGCTTGCAGTCTAGATGGACGAGGCCGACCTTGCTGCCACCAGCTCGAGGGTCATCAGGAGGGATCACCGACATCACCTTCGCAGGGATCCAACGGCCTGTTTACGATCACCTTGTATGAGGGGTAGTAGCAGAAGCTCCTACCTAGAGATTGACTATAGTATTCAACCGTGGAGCCTTGTGGAAGTTGAGAGGCCTGTACACAGGGACTGATACAGCTGCTGTTGGTGCTCGCCGCCAGGTTGGGGGTGCCAGGCATAGTGCTAGACCCTGAGGAGGGATGCCCTAGTCTTGGGCCCCCAAGGGGATCCAAGTGCGCCCTACCTCCATGGTGAAAGTGCTCCGATACAGCAGCTGAGGTGTTGGAAGGCGTGGAGCGGTGCCCAGCGGAGGGAAGACCAGCGATGTGACCAGAAGGAGGCTTGGGGGGAGGGTAGAGGGTCCCTGAGCAGTTGGCGGCCTTCTTAGGATCCTCATAGTTGTAGTAGACAGTGGTGTTTGAGGCCCTTCGACTGACACTCAGAGGAGTGTTGTTGTCAATGATAGTTGACATGTATGGAGGCAGTGTACGCTAGGGATAGCAATTGACCACTCAACGCAACGGTTTCAGAAGAGCTCGACGGAAATGATCTGCTTATAGCTCGACTCCAATGCGGGCATTACGCTACTCGGAAGATCAACAGAGGTCACATACGGGTTCGAAAATAAGATGATACGGATGAAGTCAACTTCTGAAACGCTCGCGTAGATGGACGCGAGCGACCTGCAGGGAAAGTGAATTAGAACCAACAATCATCAGCCGATGAGTGGAGTATCATATCAACTTCAACGAAGGATGAGGAACAGCAGTTGGAATGATGTTCGCACCTGCATAAACGAATTCAAGGAAGAACTGCTAGTATTACTTTACTAGTAAGTGCGCGGCATTTCTCGCTCGCCCAGGGATGTACCTTCAATGTAAAAAGCGCGCGCCCAATAATTATTACCCTGTGCGCACGGCGTATATGGGCCTGTTTTATTCCGTGTTTCCACAAGAAAAGATGTGGGGTTGTCGTTGGCAGTGTATTGGGGATGACGTAAGGAGATTACTGGTCGTTGTGGTAGATCAGTTGGAGGGCGCCTGATATGCTGAGGAGCGGTAGGCAGCAACAGCATCAGCTGGGTGCTTCACGGCACTACTATACATGTTCAAAGGCGGTCGTAGTCACCAACAGC